GTCCAATGATTCTGATCGCCCTCTTAGGTGCACATCGAGTGGGAATTATTTGAACAGTTTATCTAAAAATATAATTTATGACTATTTATTTTTTTGTATTACAATAAATGTATTAAACAATACATATAATCAAAAGAAATACAGTTTTTAACAGCAATAGTAAATTATTGTTCAGTTCAAAGAATTTGTTTCATAATTCAGGCATAATATGACACAATATATGACTGCAAACGCTATTTGAATCATCATTTTACTCAAGAATTAAAGAATTTAAACGATTGGTTACATTCGTGGTTAACAAACAATTCATTCAATTGTCATAAACTTATGGAAAACAAAGAACTTTAAAATACATTATAATAAATGACTTTAAAATAAAATCAAACTTTCGAAGAGAGATATCCTATAAATGCCAATAAATATAAACTCTATTCTAATCGTCAATTGATAACTGGATTTTTGGTGTCAATTGAGTTTCTCGAAGATTTGTCGCACTTCTTGAAACACTTGGTCCGGAGGAAGATTGGCGTCCACTTTGCGCACGAGATTAGACTTTTCGTAGTACTTAATGATAGGCATCGTGTCGATGAGATAAGTGTTGATCCGTTTGTTCATACTTTCGGGATTGTCATCACTGCGACCACTGCCGGCCTCTCCGCGCTTCAGACATCTCTGGACGCATACATCTCGCGGACAGTCGAAGAAGAGGACGAACTTGACGTCCGCTTTGTGTGTCATCTCTCTCTGCCAACCGTCCAAATTGTTTTGATTGCGGGGAAAGCCGTCGATGAGAAACTTGCCGCCGCTTCCGGACACTCGATCCCCGGATCCGTTCTGTTGGCCGGACGACCTCTTCATGGCGTTGTCGAGCAACTGACAGGTGATCTCCACGGGAACTATCGTACCATTCCTTATGTGGGTTTCAATGAGTTCTCCATATTGTGATCCCTCTGTGTTTCGTTCGGCTCTTAAGAGGTCGCCGGCACTCAAGTGAATGAAACCAAATTCCTATGCAATCAATGCTTTAGTATTCATATAACCACTAACTCTAAGACATTAGACATCCAATGGTTTGTGAGTACGAGTGGCACGACTGCTGACCCCTTTCTCCTCAGCAATCGTTCACCACTTATGTCCGGAATAGACAGACCTTCACATGAGTTCACGACATCACCTCTCATATGAATGACTGATTCCAGTGCCAGTGATAGTGACAATAAGCACATAAAGAGGTGCTAACCTTACAGATGAGGTGACACTGAGTGCCTTTGCCNATTCGGTGCGATCGGATCGCAAGCAGTATCTCTGAATCAGATTATCCTGCGTTCTGTGAATCGCGTCAATCGAGTTTCGCCACAAAGACCGGTCGCCCGAAGTTCAAGGACTGGCTCTTAAAGGACTCACAACTGGAACTCAAACCAAACGCTTTGGCGTTAGAAGTGTTGCAGTATTTGGCGAAAGAGACGGTCTCACAGGTCGTCGATTTGGCACTTCTTGTCAAACAGGACTCGGAGCGCGATGTATGCGATCCCTTGGCATCACTTCTGCCGCAGAAAATGATTAACAAAGACTTTCCTCTCAATCACTCGAATGCCTCGCAAACCAATAATGAAAGTGAAGATCTCTTGGCAAACCATTCATCGCAAAGCAATCCGTTCTTTATGTCTTCGCAATCAAAATCTGTGGCAATGAATGCATTAACTAATGGAACCGATGGCCAGAAGTCGAGGAAACGTAAAAAGACTGATCAGTCAAAGCTGTCATTTGAAGCCCATTCCTATTGCATTACTCCGAATCACATCCGAGAAGCCGTTCGCCGCTATTTCGCATCTTCCGGTCCTTTCGCCAAATCCAACCATTTCTCCAATCATACTATGAATCACAATAAGAAACTGCTTTGTCTTTGACTTAACCATCGAATGGCTATTCATTGAATTCATTGTTACATTTGTATGACAAGTGTTTCAGCAATACATTTGTTGTAAATAACTTGAACTCCGGTAACGAGTATAACTAAGTTTAATAAATAATTTCATGATTCGTTTGCATTAATTACTAATAAATAAATATTTAAAAGTCAATTATTATAAATGGAAATAATTTATTTAAGTCTAGAATGTCTTAAATTGATTACAAATAGGCTTATGTTTTAAAAACATTAGTACAGTATTGATTCAAATGACAAAACATTGATAAACATATTGTTCTTAGAATTGCTTTAATTAAAAAGAATACAATTATAATATAATAATGAGACATAAAATTAGAATATATTTTGACGAAAAAGTGGCAGATATTTGGTTTAACACAAGAGTTTGGTCAATGCCTTTGCATTCATCCTGAGTTCGAGCAGAGCGTAGTCGTCGGGAACGGGTGTGTTGTAAGCGAACTGTCCGCCACTGAGTTCCGAGTAAATGATGTTTACCTTACGGGCCATTTCGCTCTGACATAAGATCTGTGTCTTGCAGTTAGTCCTCATCTGATGGACGTTAAAGTCTTTGATGTTCTCAATGTTCGAGTTCTCGAGACACGACATGTATGTGTCGTATATGTGGGCGCCGTTTGAATACCAGTTAGATATGAGATGTGAGTTGGGCTTCAGTTTAGATATCAATGCAGAGATGGACTCATTCTCTTCGTTGATAATCATTTGCGGTAAAACCCAATCGATTAGCACTTCGTGGGCTTCAGTATATTGATGGCAATCAATCAGATTTTCAGCCAAATTCTTGTAATCAAAACAATACTTCGAATGAATGGACTTTCCTTCCGCTAAATAAATGGCCGGAATTGAGATCGCGTTCAACAGCCAGTCCTCCAAATGCTTGTTTTCAATCAATTGCTTTGCATTCTTAGTAATTATCTCTTTGATGGCTATTTGTCTCATGACATCATTGCCAATATGTGTGGCCACAAAACAGGCCCAACGGATGTCCTTTAATTGTGAGGCAATCAATGTGTGAACGGAATCACTCAAAGAACTCAAATCATTTTCATCACTCATTACGTGATAGCATTTCAGTGACTCGTGAAGGAACCACGACTCCAGTGGACTGCCTGTCCAACACATAGCAACCCATGGCGTGTGTCCGGCAAGTAAGTGATACTCTACTTCATCGGGAGCTACGGTTAGACTGGAAATGGATGTTAACAACAAATTGAGGCCCAATTCGTTGTTTTCCACTTCTGGTGGCGTTTTGTAGATTAATATAAGAGTCAACTGTTGTGTCCATTGAAGTCCTTCCAAAACACTGACTACAGCTCCAGTACTCAACTTCCACTCTATTAGGCCGGCCATCAATACATATATTTTCATCAAATCGTAGTCAATATAAGCGTCTGCTTTGGAGCGCTTCCAGGCATCCAATTGAGCGATAAGTAGCTCTTTGTTCGAAGCGATTCCCGACGCCAACAGTGATGCCAAACGGGGGTTATTAGTGGTCAGCGCCTCCTCGACGGCCACTTCCAACTCGTTGGTCGCCATGAAGTGAACCACTTTCGCGAGACTTGTCTTAGGGATCGGTAGCTTATTGTTGACAGAGTAGAGCCAACTTAGGATTCGGTCGATCCTCTGCTGATGACAGGCATAGGGCGTCACTTCAGTCAACGGCCCGTAAAGAGCTTTAATGAGCTCTTCCTGTGTGAGAGAGTTGTGAGAGTTTGAGGCGAACTCTCGCGTCTCAATCAATGGCGCAATCGACTGGTTTTTAGGCGACAATACGTTTGAGTGGCTCTTCAAGTGCTCCGAGAATCTATTGGCAATCGTGTCATTCATTTCAATGGAATTCCATTCGCAGACCAAAACAGACGATCCCTTAATAAAAGTGAAATTTCGGGATCCGTTGAAAAATCTAAGTTTCGGTGAATTGGAGACACAAACAGAACTGATATCACAGACAATCTTATTCTGTGCGCCAAATACGTCCGCTTCGAACGCAAGGTCTCTCTTGACAGCAGTCATGGGTCGCGCAGTCGATGGCATTATAGGCGTAAAGAACTTATTCTTCGTTTCCTTTTGCGGCGAAAGGACTGCAAATGTTTTAGTCTTTTTGTTGAACACACTCTCGTACTCATCGAATAAAGTCGATCGCATTTTATGCATTTCACTCGTGCGGGACGACAATTGCGACGAATAATCCAAATACTGGTCGTCACTCATGTCCAGTAAGTCATCGTCTTCTTCGTCGAACAATAGATTCATCGCATTGTCTGTCGGTATCATCCCTTTGGCCGACAGTTCTTCAGAGATCTCATTAACACTCGATTCCTTCAAATCATAGTCTTTTGAGAACAACTTTCTCTTGCTTTCAATCAACTCTTTGTGAGGAATCGCTTGTTTGGGAGCCGTTTCATGTGTGGCCTCAATAGGCGCCACCTCTTCGTCCTCATCGTCGTCCAGAAGTCCGTATTTACTGAAGTGCTTGACTGTGAAGACCCAACTGCCGGTGTCGGGTCTGTACTCCTTGAAAGTGGCGCCCAATTTGATGGTCGCCGTCTCGATCTTCGAGGAGTACTTCATGGCTCGCAATCGGTCTCTATCTTTGATCACCTCATGAGTGGTCTTATCTATAGGCCAGACCTGATCCAAAGTGATTTGCGCGCATCGGTTCAATCCGTCGCCCACTTTGGGTGCCATGTCTTCGTCGGGATAAACAATCACTTCTTTGCGTCGGATGTGCACCACTTCATCCAAATTCAAGCCCTTCACGTCCAACGGTCCGTTCCAGTAGATCGAGCCGTAGTCCTGTCGCACAACTGTCAGGTCGGGCACAATACACGTGTCACTCGACGCGTCATAATAAGTGTCCAAATCCTCTAACGGAGGGATAGTGTAGTAATCAGTTCGCGTCAGAATGACACCACATTTGGGCACAAATGGTGTGACGCTTATGCTGTCCACGTCTTCTGTGCGGTGATCACCACTCGTATCGATCGACGCATTGAAGCTCCGATTGTTTGC